AAAAAAAAAAAAAACCATTTACCATTTGTTCTACACAGCAGCAAAGAAATATCGACTCTTCTAGAAGTTGCTGAATGGCTTCCATTTCAGAATGTAAATAAAAAACATGATCATGGCTCTTAATTTCCGACGTCAGCTGCTGTTCTTCCCTTGATCACTCTGCCCCAGCCAGTGGGCTTCGTGCACGTCAGGCAAAGACAGACATACTCCTGCCTCAGCCCCTGCACTGGCTGCGCCCTCTAGTCAGCCAGCCTTCTGTTCCCATCCCCGACTACATCTCTTTCAAATCCGCAGGGACAACCTCAGAATCCTATTAAATGCTGCAACTCCCCTTGCTGCCCCACCAAGACTTGAGGTCCCACTTAACCTACTGTATGCTGTCTGCAGTATGTATCAACTTCCATGTTTACTGTGTCTCCCCTGCAGGAATATTATGTGGCTACAAAGGTCTTTTCTTATTGTGTTCACTGGTAATCCCAAGCATCTAGAACAGCGTTTTGCACATACTGAGCTTTCGATACAGAGTCAGCGGCACTGTTTCAACCCTAGGAGGCCATAATGGCGAACGAAACAGGCAAACCCTCGAGCAGTTTACGTTCTGTTATGCAGGGCCTGACAAGTCTGTATCAGAGCAGTGAATGCTGCAAGGACGAACACTACCAGTCTCATGTGTGAGAGCATACAATAGTCAGGGCTGGGTGCGGTGGCTCAAGCCTGTGATCCAAGCACTTTGGGAGGTGGAGGTGGGAAGGTTGCCTGAGGCCAGGATTTTGAGTTCAGCCTGGGAAACTTAGTGAGACCCCATCTAGACAATCAAATAAATAGTTAGGTGTAGTGATAACGCAGTCCTAGCTACTCCGGAGGTGGAGGCAGGAGTCTCACTTGAATCCAGAATTCCAGGCTGCAGTAAGCTATGACTATGCCACTGCAGTCCAGCCTGGGTGACAGAGCAGATCCTTTCTCTAAAAAAAGAGGGAAGGAGAAAGGAAGGGAGGTATGCCAGCCTAGAGAAGAGCTCAAGGAAAGTCATGAGATCGAGACAACAAAACCTGCAGGATATGCTAGAAAATGGGCTATCTCAAAACTCAGCTTCCTAATCTCAACCTCAGCCCCTAAATTCCTCTACTGTGATAGTGAACTGCTTTCAGTAACTCAAAGAACAGTCTTTCTGATACTGGGGCACTTTTGCTCTGGAAAACAATTGTTCTCTGATTCTGCCCACTTCCCTGGACGATTTATCTTTTAGATCAGACTAGATTTTACTCTCCCTGGGAAGCCTTTCTTTTCAAGTTGGTTACAATACCACCCAACTGTGTGCTCCCACAGCTGGATGGATGGAAAACAGAAGGTGAGATTTAGTTCTCACAAGTGTGATGGCCGGGCTCGGTGGCTCAGCCTGTAATCCCCCGCCTTTGGGAGGCCGAGGTGAGTGAATTGCCTGAGCCCATGGGTTCGAGACCCGCCCGGGCAACTTGGCGAGACCTCGTCTCTACAATAAATCAAAAAATTCGCTGGGTGTGGTAGCGCGCACCTGTAGTTCCAGCTACTTGGAAGGCTGAGGTGGAAGGATCGCCGGAGCCCAGCAGGTCGAGGCTGCGGTGGCCGGGAGCAGCCACTGCACTCTAGTCTGGACAACCGAGTGCAGAGTGAGACTCCTACTCAAAAAATAAATAAGTGTGATGGAAATGAAATTTTAATATGAAATCTAATGTACCAATAAAAGCCTCGCATATTGTAGCTTTACTCCTAGAAGTTGTAGATTTATTCCTTTAAACCACAAAGTCAGCCAGGCGCAGTGGCTCAGCCTGTAATCCCGTGCTTTGGGAGGCTGAGGTGAGTGGATTGCCTGAGCCCACAGGTTCGAGACCCACCTGGGCAACTAGGCGAGACCTCATCTCTACAATAAATCAAAAAGTTAGCCGGGTATGGTAGCGCGTGCCTGTAGTTCCAGCTACTTGGAAGGCTGAGGTGGAAGGATCGTCAGAGCCCAGCAGGTCGAGGCTGTGGTGGCCGGGATGCACTCCAGTCTGGGTGAGAGAGTGAAACTCCAACTCAAAAAAAACCCACAAAGTCCAGCAAAATCTGACATCATGAGTTGATATTAGAAAGGTCTGAGACAAAGCCTAGACAGAATACAGTACTACATATAGTTTCGGTTTGTATTCCTCAAGTAATATATGCGGCCTGACAATTAAGTTCGCGAATTTGCTTATGTTGGCAGCACTGTATAAACAACTTGGTAAGGTTTCATAACCATGGTATATCAGTGCCTCACACCTGTATTCGTGTCTATGTGTGACGGTGTCTTGCTGAGTGGCATTCAATATTGTTGCATGTTTTTGTGTTCCATTGTGAGGATGTTGGAGCTTGAATTAGGGCAACAAACAAACATTAAACTTCTTGTTAAACTTGGCAAGAAGGGGAGTGAAATCAGGGACAAGTTAGTCCAAGTTTATGAGGATAATGCCATGAAGAAAGTAGCAGTGTACCAATGGATTAAATGTTTTTCTGAGGGAAGAAAAAGCATCAGGATGGCCAGTAACAAGCAGATCTAACAAAAAAAAAAATGCAAAATTTCACAAATTGTGCATCAAAATCATTGGCTGACCGTGAGAAGCATAGCAGACCAGATAAACATTGATACAGAGACAGGAGAATCTTAACTGAAAATCTTGGTACGAGAAAGGTGTGTGCAAAAATGGTCCCGAAAGAGCTCTTGCATCACAACAGTGCACCAGCTCACACAGCACTATCTGTGAGGGAGTTTGTAGCCAGTAAACAAATAACTGTATTGGAACACCTCCCTACTCACCTGAACTGGCCCCCAGTGACTTTTTCTTTACCTTAAGATAAAGGAAATATTTTGAATAGCAAAGATATTTTTATGACATTTAGGACATCATTCCAGAAAAAGAGTTCCAAAACTGCTTGACAGGTGGATTAGGTGCTGGCCTGGGTGCATAGCTCCCGAAGAAGAGCACTTCAAAAGTGACCGAGATGACATTCAGCAATGAGGTAGCACTGAGGCACTTTTTCTGGGATGAGTTTGTGAACTGAATTGTCAGACCTCATATGTGTAGAAAAGGAACTAGTATATAAGACGAGAACACTGTATTCTTCCGAGGAGAAACTGAAATTTAGCACCCTATAAAGTGGCAGATAGGACTTTTTTTAATTCGCGAAAGTCTTAAATAGAATTAACTCGAATTTAGTCATAACATCAGGATATTAAAACTTGGGTGTGTGAGAGAGGAGAAGCCGCGGGTGGGTTAGGGGTCTACAGAATGAGTAGTCACCGGGCGTCTGCTCCACAGAAACTGTCCTCCCGAAAGGTCTTAGCAGCTGCAAGGATGGGGACTTAATGGCAAGGAACTGTGAATCGGCCGGGTCCTTTTGAGGGTGACCGTCAGGCTACTCTCAGCGCAGCCCTGGCTTCACGGTGAATTGGAATCGTTGGTCTCCCTCATAGTAGCCCTCGTGCTGCAGAATTCTCATCTATTTCACAAACCATTCTAAATGAAATCGCTAGATTCAGGTATCGTCTGCCTCCTTTTTAAAAACCCTCACTTTAGCCGGGCTCGGTGGCTCAGCCTGTAGTCCCGCGCCTTTGGGAGGCTGAGGTGAGTGGATGGCCTGAGCCCGCGGGTTCGAGACCCACCTGGGCAGCGAGACCTCATCTCTACAATCAATCAAAAGATCAGCCGGGCGCGGTCACGCATGCCTGTAATTCCGGCCACTCGGAAGGCTGAGGCGGAAGGATCGCCGGAGCCCAGCAGGTCGAGGCTGCGGTGGCCGGGGGCGGCCACTGCACTCCAGTCTGGGCGACAGAGTGAGACTCCAACTCAAAAAAATAAATAAATAAATAAATAAAAACCCTCACTTTGCATACAGATGGGGAGAGAGACATCACTGCCCTTCCCATTATAACCAGCCTCCCTCCCTTCCACCTTCCCCCTCATCAATTCAAAATCGCTCTTAAGGACTCAG